CGCGCCGCCGGCCCCCGCGCCGCCCGGGACGCCCCCCAACGCCCTGCCGCCCGGCCCCGAGTACTACGAGGAGGAGGAGCTGGAGAGCGCCGACGAGGAGGACGGCGAGCGCAGCGCCCGCGCCCGGGACTCCGACGAGGGTGGGCGGGGCCCGCGCCCGGGAGCCTGGGTGGGGCAGGGGGAGACTCGCACCTTCCTCGCTAGTCGGGGAGGGGTGTGTGCAGTGTAATGGTTGTACGCGTAATACATGCTCATGCACGTGTGTGTGTGTCACGTACACACGCATGTGTTTTTACGGCTTTGAGTGCGCATGTCTAAAAGCACGAGGTTTTGTGAGCTGACACTCGCTTCATCCCCACCTGGGACCTGGTTAGGAGCAGCTGTGGGGCAGGAGGAGCAGGGAGGGTCACTGCTTTGGATCTTAACCTCAAGATCAGGGTTTCTCAACCCATGGGTCTTGACCCAAAAATGGGTTGCAAGAATATAGGAGAGAGTTGAAAACAAACTTTACAAATGGATTTTCCTTTAAAGGAGAAAAATGTAGGAACTCTGTGGTCCCCCCTTGTCTCACACACACACTGCTGCCCCTTGCTCTGGGGGTGCGGGCAGCAGGTTGGGAGCGAGGGACACTGGGTTGGGACTGGCCATCAATGTTTACAAATCGGTCCTGGTACAGAAGTTGAAAACTGCTGCTCTAGACTCAAGCCCCCCTGCCCCCCATCAGACTTCAGGAACCCCACTTTTTCGCTCCAGAAAAATAACCCAGTAGTTCCCCCATTGCAAAGAACTGGGCCAGGCCAAATGGTTTTGACGCTGTGGATTTCTATTTCACATCTCTGGGTTTGTTTTATGAATGGTGGGTTGGGGTTTGCGCACCTGAGTGGTAGTGTTGCACATACCTCATGGCAGCCTTGAAAGGACTTCATAGCATCCCTGCAACAGCCGGGTTGAGAATCATTGTGTTATTTCCACAAGAGAGTGGAGGGGAAATTGGTGTAAAACTGTCGCAGGAGAAACAGGAGGGATATGGGGGTGGAGTTTGGGCTAGTTTTCAGTGGAGAGAGGGATGGTAATAACAGGGGGGAAAGTCCATAGGTAGTGAGAAGAGGGGAGGAACAGAGGAGTGAAGTGAGAGAACATAGTAAAGTAGTACAGTGGCAGATTACACTGTCAGAGAGATTGTGTGAGATGGCACTAAGCATTAGTACTAGTCTCTGTTACATGTAGATGCTGAAGGACTTTTGTGAGGTGTATGCTTATGAATACTAAGCTGAATAATTCCCAGTAGCATTACTTAGCACCCTTAGTGGAAGTCTTGTCTCTGTTGTAAAACGTAACAGAATTTAGTTCTATTATTTTTTTGTTCTGGGGTTCAGGTAAAGTTTGGAGTGGTCCTGAGACTTGTAAAGGAGCTGGGGTTTGTTGTAGCAAAGAGACTATGGCAGGGATAAAAATGTAAGAAAGTCTACAACACATCCCTCATGTTATGACTAGCTTTCATGGATAGTATGAGGATTTTCTAATTTATTATAATTAGCTAGATTTATTCAAGAAACAAAGGGACAAGATGTTTTGTGTCAGCTGATTTCATTTTCTGTACTATTAAGCTTTATTCTGAATACTTGTTTTAGCAAACAGGACAGGTATGTGTAGGAAAACATGGATAGCAGCTTGCAATGGTCTGAAGATGAGTGTGTCAGAATTCACCTTTTAGGCTGCCCTAGCATTGATTAGAAATAAATGCAACTAGATAAAAATGACCTGTTTCTTTAAAATGATTTGATGCTGTGTTTTTAATGATATCAAATCTTTCTACACTTGATTCAGATACTGAGGATGCTAGCGAAACTGACCTGGCAAAACACGATGAAGAGGATTATGTAGAAATGAAAGAACAGTAAGTATTCCTGTCCCCTGCTCCTCCCTCTCC